CGCTCGGTGTGCAGCAGCCGCAGCAGCAGCAGTGGCGGCGGCGACCAGCGCTCTGGGCACCAGCACCAGCACCACCAGCCCATCTGCAAGATCTGCTTCCAGGGCGCGGAGCAGGTAAGGCCCGGCGGCGGCTCCAGCTCGCAACGGTCAAGCTTTCAGCACCACGGACAGCGCACGCCTCCCTCCCAGTTGCCTCCAGAGCCTCCAGACAGGCTCCTCTGGTTCTGCCCTGTGAGCGCTAGCTCCAGTGTGCGTTCCCCTTTCCATTCCTATGAAGGCAAATAAAAATGTCCCAGTGGCGAATACTGGGTTTAATTTCATCTACACTTTTTTTTTTCCTTCATGGCTTAGCAGGTACATGTTCCTCAGGTACTTTAGTGATAATGCCAAAAGTACCTTTTGTGAATTATTCGATGAATTTTGGTTTATGCTTAGAAGCAAACCTATCAGATGTAAGGTGAAGTCCGTTTTCTACAGATGTATCTTGAGACGGATGTCATATCACAACCAGAAAGGGCAGAGTCTTTCCTTATCGCAAATTTGGGTGACTTAATCTCATGGATATGAAAAGCATGTGATAGTTTTTACAAGAGAAATAGGAATGGACTTTGAAAGAAAGGCAATTATGCCAACAATGTACGTTATATTTTGTCAGCAACACAATTCTAAAATTATAAACACCATTGTAGGTGCATGCAAACTTATGTGAGAACAATCATGCAGAGGAAAGGATAGCGTATGTCCCTTGCAAATGTGTGGTCTGAGAAAACATTAGGTGTAATGTTTTTAAAAGTAAGGAAATTGCATAAGAATATACAGGCTTTCAGGAATATAGTGCCCTAAGTCAATATTTATGATGCTACATTTAGAAAAATAAAAGCATAATGCCGCTTTCTGGGATGCCGTGCGTTTCTTCTTTAGCAATGATTAAGAATAACTGCAGAGGAAATGCATCTGACCATCCACTTAAAAGTTATTAAAGAGATTTAATAGTACAGCCTTCCCCCACGGGTATTGGGAGCTATATCTTGCAGACATTTTGTATGTTGGTAGAACATTTATGTCATAACTGTAAGTAATATCTTTGAAATAGTTTTAAGACTTTAGTTTCATTCCCATCAGTGGTATAAAATTTTAATTTCATTTCCTAGGATAGAGCCTGATGCTGTATCCTGAGTAAATGGCTTTGAAAGAAAAGAAAGGAAGCATTAGGTTTTTAAAATAGAGCCACAGACACAAATATTCACACTGAGTTGTTTTCTTTTTAGGGTGAGCTGTTGAATCCCTGCCGATGTGATGGGTCAGTTCGGTATACACATCAGCTGTGCCTGCTAAAGTGGATCAGTGAGAGAGGTTCCTGGACCTGTGAACTCTGCTGCTATAGATACCATGTTATAGCCATTAAAATGAAACAACCTTGCCAGGTAAGCAGTTTCAACATTTATTTTTCCTGAAATAATTTTGTTAACATGAATGCACTTAAGCTTAGTTATTACTAAGGATATTTACTTATGCTACTTAAAAACATTTTGTGCAAATTACAGTAAAACCAAGATTTAGAATTTGTAAATATGTGTTTTGAGAAAGCCATGACGTTTTATCTGAGAAACTCAAAAGACATTTTAATTAAATGGTTTCCTTCATTAATTTTTTACTTATTGATAAAATGATACCCATCTTTTTTCTAAAAAGGCAAGTTGGTAAGATGACTTATACCCCCACTTACATCAATTTTATTCATTAGAAATGTTACACAGTTGATTTTATTAATATTTTGTTAACTTAAGCGTTTAAGCTCTAGTGGGCTCTATTTATGGAGAACAGATACAAGTAAAGCAAAACTTTACTGGTATGAAAATTTTGATTGAACCTATTAGTTCTAATCTGAATGCTCTTTCCACTTAACCAGGCTTTCTTTTTCATATGATGTTCTTTTGCAGTTAAATTTTTGCTGATTTTCTTCTTTGCTGTGTTCAGCTACATAGTGGATGCAGAAGTAATCGCAACAGTTACTCTCAATAATACTACTGAAATAGTATTCTTATTCTTAAACTTTTTGTGTTAATCACATAATAACACAGTACACATAAATCTACAAATGCCCTGGAAAATAGGCCTAAAATTTATTGTGAAACAGATTCAAGTTCTTTGAACAGACAGGTAGAATATACAATATTAGGAATGCCATCTTAAGGAAAAGCAGAATAATGTGTAATTAATGTTATCTGGTAGGCTGAAGTTAAGTAGAAATAAAAGAATAGGGTTCAAAACAGAGGCAAAGGAATGATGGAAGGAAAAAGAATAGGGAATTGCGAAGCTGGGAGGGGAAAATGTAATAAACTCTCGTGTTCCTTGTTGCTATCTAAATCATCCAGTTTGGTTTTTATTCAGCAATGTAATATAGGTGGAACTATTAGTGTTTGCGGAAGGAACCTGGAAGTTGAATTACTAGTGCATTAAGAATTTAAATTTCATAGTTTAAAATTTTTGCATCCTTTATATAGTTTGCAATTAATTTGCATCTCTGATAGTCTCCATTTAATGCATGATTAGCAAGCACAAAATGAAAATATGTATTTCTCAAGCTGACCTAGGGCTTATGAATAATTTGGAAAGAGAAAGCATAAATAATATGGATGAGTGATATTATCATGCTGAAGACAGGCACAAACCTGACACCTTTTCCCAGAACCTCTGATTGAACTTCTTGGGTATCAATTTATGAATCCGTCATAGTTGTCTTGAAAAATAGACGAAACCATTTTCAAAGACAGCATATAGGTAGTATAACTGGATCTACAACAGTTTTATCTATAGAAGGATGTGGGAAGATAAGAAATGAGAGAGTTTTGGGCTCTAGAGAAAAGTTCCATGAGAAGAGCTATGGTCAGACGCTCATTGGCTGAAACAGAAGATTATTTCAAAAGCTTGAACTTATGGCAACTATATGTTAATTCATTTGGGATGATTAATTTTGAAGTAAATAGAGATAAGTACTTGGTAGACATTTTAAAATAAATAAGAGATAAAGAGGTGGGGAAAAATAGTATTTACTAATTTTAATCCTATAGCAAAAGGAATTGGTTACTACTGTCTCTTGCTTCATTTAAAAAAGATTCCATAGTTATTTTAAAGAAGTAACTCCCCAAACTATGCATATGATTTTCCTTTTCCCCAAAAAAGAACTAAAACCCAAAAACTAATCCAGTACTACTAGCATATTTAGGATTAATTTTATTATGACATCTGTAAATACTACTATTATCTGTAACCTGATCTGATTGTTGTAGTGACCTACAAAATCATATGTAGAAACAAAGTTGATACGAATGTGATGATGATAGCTCAGAACATGCTGGAAATGAAATAACTTTCCAGGACTACATCAGATACACTTGTATCTGTGTGAGGCCAATCCCTTGTGAGCAGGTGGTTTCTTGGATGTAGACCAGAACAGAGAACAAATAATAATATTCACAAATACTTTGCCACGCACTGTTCTAAACATTTTACGTATATGGATACGGATATTTAATCTTCATGACAAATCTAAGAGGTGAGGAATATTTCTATTTTACTCAAAAGGAAACTGAGGCACAGTAAAGTTAAGTAACTTCTACTAGGTACCTATCTAGTAAAAGGCAAAGCCAGGATTCAGACTTAGTCAGTCTGGCTCAGGGTGGCCCTGTTGGAAAGTGTGCATCTCAGTCCCATCCTAGCCACCTTCATGTTTCTGAATCTGTCATGACTTGTCCTGGAAAAGGCTGTAGCAAGCAGGAACTAGTTTCAACCTGGGTCTCTAAGATGCTTTGGGAAGGTTTTGACTGTCTACTGTTGCATAATAAGCCACCTCAATACTTAGTGCTTTAAACAACAACTGTCATTTATGATCTGTTCAGAGTCTGTGGGTTGATGGAGGTCAGCTGAGATGTCTTTCTCTGCATGCAACATCACCTGAAGCTATCATCATCCAGAGGCTTAACTGGATTGGAACATCCAACAAGGCTTGCCCATTTGACCTGGTTTTGGTGCCGGCTGTTGGCTGGAAGCTCAGTTGGGGCTGCCACCTGGTGTCTCAGTTCTCCCTCCATGTGACTGCTGCTTTTCCCTGTGATAACTGGGTTCCAAGAGCATGAAAGTGAAAATTACAAATCTCTTAAGTCGTGGCCTTGGAAGTAACGTGGTTCCCCATCTGCTGCATTCTTTTGTATAAAGCTAGACAGAGGCCCAACTCAGATTCAAGAGAAGGGAAAATAGACTCCACTTCTGGAGTCTGGCCCTTCTTTTAAAGGGAGTGGCCATCTTTATCCACCATAGGAGTTAGCTTCTAAAATGGCCCTGCCTTCCTGACCTGGTCTCTGCATTTGGTCCTCATGAAGTCCAGGTAGATCAGCACATATCACCATAACTTCCCTTCCAGGGCTCTGAACCAAAGGAGGTTAAAACAGTGTATGCAAGAACTTACCAGTGGTGCTTGATGTATATCCTCAAACACTTTCATGAGCGAGTATTACCACGTTGTATTTCCTTGTGCTCAGAGGAAGATGAGGACAGAGAAAGGCAGTTTTCAGGAAACAGGTGTGTGTGAGGAAAACATGCTGCAGTGAACCTAACACCTTAGTTTCACTTGTTTTTCTCATTGAGATTTGAATTCTTTGAGAATTGGAGTCTAACCTCCCAATTTTATTGGATTTCAGTGATGCTTGGCAGTATGACCCAATAGAAATCTAGCAGATGTATCCTTTGCAACATAGTTAAACCTTAATTGCCATATCATTAGCAGTAGGAGTTAATTAAGACATTTGAGGTAATAAAAATGCATTTACCTTCCTATCTACTGGCAGAATCTATTTTATTTATTAACATATCCAAGATGATGCGTTAAGGACAATTTGAGAGTAAAGGCTAGTTCTGTTTTGAATCTGGCCCAAAATTAGTGAAATGCGTGGACTTATAAGATCAGCTTTATTTTGAGATGTTGGGAGCATTATACATTAATTAAGCCATATTCCAGTTTATGAATGGTTTCAGTATTTTTTCCAGAGGCATGATGGATCTTTGAAGAGATAACATTTATGGGATAAAGTATTGTATGTGAAATTATAAACTTTCTATAAAAGACAGACTGTACTGCCTAAATGAAGAAAAAGCTATGTAAATGGAAGGTAATATCTATGTTATTTTAGAAAAGCTACTTAAACTCTTTGTATCTCCATTGACTCATCTTCAAAAAGGAGATGACAATGGCACCTGTCTTATACCTTATTTTGAGAATTAGACACATAAATATGTGTGAAATGCTTAGAATGACACCTGGCCCATAGCAGGTGCCATTTAAATGCTGACTCTGGATATTATGATCTGTTCAGTCAGCTTAGAGATGGGGACCTTCACTTGCTCACTTCCACAGGTCCTTCTTGTTTACTTCTCATTGTGTCTCAAAGTGAAGTTAATGGCTCCTCTTTCTATATCCTTCTTTACCCTTGCATTTTTATTCCCTGCTTTTTCTGGGATCCCACCTCAGTTTCTGACCAAATCAGTTGACATCCGTGATGAATGAATCAGCATTTTTAAAAGCAGGTGTAATGAGATATAATGATCTCAATGCGGTGAGCATATTTACTCTCCAGATGTCCCTCACTGTGGGTCTTATTTATGTCCTTATTGGAGTCTACTAGTAATTGGAGCAATGAGATGCTCTTAAATGTGGCCAAGCACAGGGCAGCACTATTCAAGGTCAGGCAGCCATACTTTGTTTATGCTTTAGAACGGCCCCTGTCAGGTGGGGTGCATGTAACCTGTGAGTAGGTAGAAGGTCAGAGAAGTCTGAGATTTCTGGGACAATCACAGAAGGGGTAATGGCTGAGCATCAGTTACAGGGAATCGTGGTGTTCACCAACTTTCCTTCTTCCTCCTCCTTCATTGCTTGGAGCACCAGAGGAAAGGACCAGTGTTATCTGCCTGTCTTGCCTACTTGGGAAGGGTTAGAGACTTGCATGTGGTCCATAGACCTTTTCAGGGTTTAGGCTTTGGCCATTGTTATTGGCCTATACTATTTTTTTATTAGACTTTCCCTTACTCCTTTTCCTTTAAAACTCTTCTAATGTGCTGTCAGCAGCAGATCTTCTTGTAGCAGTAAGAATGACTGGGAAATCTCTTAGCAAAGAGAAGGACTTGAGATTATTTTTCATTTTTATCCATGTTCTTAAAACCCTGGGATTCCTCATAATGGATTTGAATCAGAGGGGAATTAGCTAGCAGGTGGGTTTATTTGGCTATCCTTTTTAGGTACAGCTTCCAGACCTTCCTTCTTGTAAAACATATATAGAACTTTAATTAACTTTCTGAGGAACCCATGGTCATTATTTTTCTAAATGGGGCTCCATCATGAAAGGGGCATTTCCACCTTCAGAACTGATTGCTA